GTTGTCATTATCATGAGCTCTCACCCAGAAGGGCTTGTATCCTAAAGAACATTGTTTAATGACAAGTTTTGTTCTTGGCACTTGGCCTCCCTGGTGGCTAGAAATCTGATCACAGGCTCTTGTCGAAGCCTAACCCTGCGCTGAACTAATTGATGTGAAGGGGAGACTGTGCCACAGCCTCCTAAATAGCAAGGGTGTGATTAGACACTATCAGCGCAGAGGAACATCCCACCTCGCCAGTGTCACATCCACCCCCTGGGCTTCCTCGCCCGTCAACAGTGGTATACAAAAGACAGAGCACGTGTTCGCCTAGCCTCTCCGGGAGCTGCCGGCTTGCCAGCTGTCACAGCATGCCTTTAATGGGTTTGTGAAACCCAGGAATCTGACCCATTTCTCCTCTGGGGAAAGAGCGTGTATGCAGGATGCCAAGCTGGGAAGCAGGACTGAGGAAGCTCACCTGTAGGAGACTGGCTCTCTGTGCCATCCAAGGCAGATTGCTTTGGTTCTTCCAGTTCCCAGAATCTCAAATCCAAAGTAAGGACACAGAAAGCAGTGAAGTGACACAGTGACATTGTTTTCTGCACATTTACAGTCTTCTTCCCTTCTCTTATTTAATTTTAGCTCCCTTTTCTGCTTACCTCCATCTTATTCCTCCCAATCCTGGCCCTAGATGTTTAGGCTCTGGGACACTGCACAAAAGGGTATTGAGTCCAAAGTGATGCAAATTTCTCAGATGGTCATGATCAGTCAATAAACAAACACATTTTGAGCAAGCACAGTGTACAGAGCCAAGCACTTATTGTGGACTTCTGGACTGTGGAGGAATCCATATCCTCAGGGAACTTCTGAACTAGGTTAGAGAGCTGAGCCTGAGAAGAATAATCGTAGGGCAGTATGGGAATGATGCCACGCACCTGACCTAACCCCATCCTGGGGTCTAAGGATGGGCTTCAGAGGCACCCACAACCATAGTTGCTTCACACCGTTTCAGGAACTTGCTTATGTGATTTTAGGTATGTAGACACACATTTTGGGGGGTAAGTCGTAGCTTTCATCAGCATCACCCCAATAGGTAAAGAACCTCTCACACAGTCAGACTTTATGGGGGAGTGCATGGGTAGGCACTCAAGGTTTCAGTGAGCAGGAAGACTTGAACTCTGTCTCAGAAAGTGGGACTCAGAGAATAGCAGGGTGGGAGCAGCCCTGAAGGAAGGCATTAGGAAGCATCATAGGGAGACCTTCGAACCAGTGACCTTAGTCACCTCATTTCCCTCAGCCTCAGTAAAATGTAGATCTGCAAAAAGCTGATGACCTCTGCTTCCCAAAGCTTTGTGAAAGACCATGGTTTCTTGTTGTTTGTGGAGGGATTTGGGGTTTTGGGGGGCTTCACTTTGTATCCCCATACCTCAGTACAGTGCTTGACTGATACCATAATGGACACTAATAAATATTTGATGAATGTGTGAGTTAACTGAAATAACGTGAGAGGGCTTTGTAAACAGCAGAGCATTGCTTCAGCAAAAGATCTTTGTTGCTAAGTACTTACATTTTGTGCTTTGCAAGCAGCCTGCACTAAGTGTCTTCTCCCCCTTGAAACGGACTCCTTCTCCTCCTGTAATGGGACTCCGAGGGCCAGCCCATCTGATGGAGTGTCTCTGCTCTGGCCAGATGAGTAATAGCTGTGCCGACAATGCTGACAAAATGTGCAGTTGCCTACAAGCAGAGGTGACCTCACCCTCCAAGGGTTTGGCCTGTTAACCCCGGCCCTGCTGACATACTCACCTGCAGCCCTCGCTTCCCTCCAGGCCTGGGAGACTCCGTGAGCTCCTTTGCTCTCCTCATCTGACTGGCAGGGGTAGAAGGAAGGGACAAGGCAGGAGCATCGCAGAGCCTCTGCTGGGACCCCTGTTAGCACAATAAGCAGGACCACTAAGTGTGACCTCTCTGTGACTCCTCAGGACTGTAGAAATGACCCAGTACCCCTTTGCTGAGCACTTCTTATATCCCCAACCTCCTACCCACAACTTCCTAGAAGCACCTATCCTGAGAGAGAACAGAGTAGGTCTCCTTTCATTTTTTTTTCTCCTGTGTGCCATCCAGTAGACAGGATGACTCATCAGCATGACCATGATAGTCTGACGGACTTGGGCCGGTTGGGAGTGGGAAAGTTTTTTAAAGCATTGGTTGAAGGTGACAGGAATTCTCAGAACAAGTTAGGAAAAATAGAGGTGATGTCTCCATGTAACATGTCTCCACTACAGCTAAGAGAAGCAGCATGCGAGCTGATGGAATGAGCTCCAAGCTAAGAATTAGGAGCCTATGCTCCAGAGCTGTCACTGAGAGACTCTGAGCCTGCCATTTAACCTCCCAGGAATCGAGTGCCTGCCCTACCTCTCGGGAGCATCATGACAGTCAAATGTATGACGATGTTTCCTGTGGCATAAAGCTTTGCAATATTAGTAATTACCAGCATATTTATGTACAGAGCACTTACTATGTGACAGGTGCTTTTACACTTATCTGTACAATCCCCACAACAGCTCTATAGGCTTATATTGTTTTTTCCATTTTTATGGATGAGGAATCAGAGGCTCAGGAAGGCGAAGAGCTTTCCCAGAACCATGCGCCTACTGTGCGTCAGAGCCTGTAGTTAAGTCCAGGTCTCCTTCCACTCTCCACTCGCCCGTGCTTCTTCTCTCCTGCATACTCTGGCTTTGGCCATATAGAATACTCCATGCTTCTCTAGTTCTTACCATCTGCCATGGACCAGGCCCACCTCCTACCTGATGCCTCCTTGCTCTAGCCTCTTTCTCTGGATCGTTTTCCTGTCTTCCTGGTGTGGCATCTGATAGTCCTCTTGGCCCTTGCTATCAACTTAACTGTCCTGACCTCTAAGCAAAGGACACACAAACCCTGACTGAGCACCTTCCTGGGGGCGGACACCCTGCTCACATGAAGCAAGAAGGGCCGAGGCCGTCCTGCCCTTCCTCAGGCTCTGAGACACTCCTGCCCGTAAGAAGGCTGCCACCCAGCCATGCTTGTCCAGGGAGGAAGAGTGCCTACGTTTTATTGTTAATTCCCCTTCGGGAAATCACTCAGCACAGCTGTCCCAGGCAGACCCTCCAGAGAGGGTCTCAATCTGGTCCACTCAGAGTGAGGCAGCACAGACTGCTAGCGGGAGTCTTGCTTAGCCCTTCACTCCTCTGGGACACGGCGAAGAGTCGCTGGTTCCACCTCGGAGATGGAAAAAGGAGATAGAAGGACTTGTCCGACATCACTTAGGGAGTTGGTAGTGGAAGCAAAAGTTTAGCTTATGTCGTCCACCCCGGTGTATCCCTAGGGACCGAGAACCTTCAGTTGCTTGAGTGTTAGCTTGGGGCTTGTCACTGCCGGGGCATGGCTAGCACAGTTCAGGCCCTTGAAAGGCCGCCAGGGCACCCACCCCCACTGCCCAGTGCCTGGCCCCCTGGACCCACACCCTGACCCTGCCTGACAGAAACAGAAGCTGGTATAGGGCAGCTACCCACTCCTGAGTTCTGCCCAGCATGCTGGTCTTCGGCCACCCACTCCCAAGGTGGCCTCTCCTTGAGGAGAGGCATCTCTAGAGCTGCCTGTTCTCCCAGCACCAGGAATCTAACCTACCATTAGGCAAGAGATAAATCAAAGCCAAGCTTGGCTGATGACATTCAGGAGCCAGTAGTGACCCTTGCCACACGTATAAATCCCCATGGCCTGGCCAAGGGCCTTCGTCTGGCCAGGAGAGCACAGGATTATCCGGCCCTCTTTGCTGATGTATGGAGTCAGCGGCTGCCAGAGTGTTTACTAACGGTTATCACCTCTGAGCCTTGGCCGTTATCAGAGGCAGGGCCGCCTGCCGGGGCTGGGGCTCGCACCCTCTCTATTACCACCTGTCATTGGCAGACGGTGTATGCTGACGCTGCCCAGTCCCCGCTGCCTCGGGAAGATAGTTTCTGACGGCTGATCAAAGAGGAGAAGCGAGGCCTGATAAAGAGTGTGTGTTGCATGTACTTTTAACTTTGGGAAATGTTGGCATTTGCATTTTTTCCCCATCTTCCTGGTGCTAGCAGGAACCAAGCCCAATAAATGCAGTGGATTCAGTTACCTAATCACTGGGGAAATGGTATGTGCTTAAAGAGCATGACTATAATCTCCTTCCAAGAAAGAGTGGATGAAATAAGCTTTCACAGAAGACTTGATGTACAATAAAGTAGAATAATTTAAATTTAGACTCTGAAGTGATCTTGCATGTAAAATCTAATGTTGGCATTCAGCAGAGCACCATGTACTTTTTGAAACTGGGAACAGCTTCAGATTAAGGAAGAATCTTTGCTGAAGATGCTTTTGCCACCACCTCTGTTGCTGGCATCCCCAAAATGGTGCCCCAGCTGTGCACATGCCCCTGCAGCTGGGAGCCAGTATGCAGTAGAGTGAGTTCTACGCTGAGAAATCAGGAGGTCTGAGAGCTTGAACCAAGTCTGCCACAGACTTGCTGTTGGGTCTTGGGCCGTAACTTCTCTGGGCTTCAAATATAAAGGTTTGGTATAGGTGGTAGGATAAAGTAGTTTAGAAAGCTTCTTAAACATTTTAAGCTATGTTGCCCTTTTTTGAAATGAGTTTTTAGGTGAAGTCCTATTGTAGAGGTGTTTTGGGTGAACATGGGGGCGGCTCCCTATCCTTGACCTAGTTCCTCAGCAGCCCCGGGAGACTCCGGAGGAACCCTGCAGCCCCTCAGGAAGCAGTTTGCAAACCACTAACCCGATGGCGTGGAGTCATTTTCTGGAGGTCTGCGCTCTGATCCAGTGGCACAAGCTGTTTCGTTCTGCCCTGCACATACGTGATCTGTGGTGTCCCCGCCTGCATCCATCCTGTGGAAGACCTAAAGGGAGCCCGGGTGTGGGGGAAGCAGTGGTGTAGACAGAGGGAACCGCCTGCTGGCTGTGGGCACATTCTCACTATCAGACGTCCCCTGTGTGCTGCAGGTGCCTTCGACCGGAGCGTGACCCTTCTGGAGGTGTGCGGGAGCTGGCCAGAGGGCTTCGGGCTGCGGCACATGTCCTCCATGGAGCACACGGAGGAGGGCCTGCGGGAGCGGCTCGCTGATGCCATGGCCGAGTCACCAAGCCGGGACGTTGTGGGACCCGGAACAGGTAAAGGTGAATCACACCTGTAGCCTGATTTGGTCATGCCTGGCACCAGCGGGTGTGGCGCTTCTCTGACAGGAGATGGGTGTATGTTTGTGGTAGCTATTTGTTCCTTCAGGTAGCACTCTGACTGCCAGCCAGTTTGGAAGCCTCTGGTATTGGGAAACCCTATGTAAAGGGGAGTTCCCCAGTGGACCAAACCCCTCCTATGTGGGGTAATGCATACAAAAATGCTGTGATAAGCACTCTTGTAATGTATACGTGGCTCCCAGAGGGACATCTTCCCTGGGCAAAGGACAGCCTTGGGGTCCCTAGGTTTTCTGTAGCCCTTAGGCGCTGAGTGCTATGGGAACACACCTTCTTCTGTCATGCTTGCAGCTTATAGGCTGGCAGGCTAAGGGGGAGCAAGCATGAGGCCGACAGGGCTGGTCTGAGCTCCCCAGACAGCGTTTTCTTATGCTGCCTTTGCCCATGCACTCTTGCTTCTGAGCTGGCCCAGCATCTGGGGCCTGGGGTGGCTTCTCCATCCATAGAGAAGCTGAGGACATCCTTGGATGATGTGTGAGCCCTACTCTAGCAAGCAGGTATACACATGCACACACGCACGCACGCACACACACAGCATGCATGTAGGAAAGACCACAGTTCTTCCATCTCCACAGTTACAGTCCAGCCTACCTCTCCTTTTCTCCAAAGCACCTCTTCCTTCTAGATGCCTGTGCTGTTCGTGACTGCTCTAGCCTGGCTTTTATGCCTGAAAAAGAGCACCCCAGCCGGTCTCTTTCCGGCCTTCCGGTGTCAGTGGGACCTTTGTCCTGGGGCAAGCAGAGCCTGGCTTCAAGCCTTCCCACTCCTGCTGCCTGTGTCCTCTCAAGAATATTATTCAAAGCATTTTGGGCAGGGCTTGAAATGCCTGAATTTATCACACAATCTCACTTTCCTGCAATCTTCCCAGTCTGTTAGATACTTGGGTTTAGCAGTTGAGCTTTTCTCTCTCTTATTCCCCATCCCATGCAGTTCCTCTACTCCTACACTAAAATGATAGAGACATATCGTACTCATCTGTCTTTACGGCACTAGCTTCATGCCTGCCTATAGTGCTTGTGCGATAATTGGCAAAAGAACAGAATGGATGCAAGAGAGGGAGAGAAGCGCCTTATTCGGCCCTGGGAGATAGCCATCTCTGAGGACCAGGCACCTTCTGCCCTGGCCAGGAAGACTACTTGGACCTTGGAAGCTGCAGCAAGCAGTGTCCCTCCCTCGTACATACACACACAGACATGTGCACACCAGCCCTCTACCCCATCATAAAGCCCTCCCACCCGTGGATAGTAGGTCACCAGGCCGTTGTTCTCCCATCTGGGTCTGGCGAGGAGGAGCAGCTCTGCCATTTCCTGGGGCTCTAACCCCATTTTCCTTGGAAGCTGGCCAAAGGAAGGAAAGCTTTTCCCTTTTTGAACCTTGCTCATAGCACAGCCTTTCCCCTGCATCTCTGGGGCCCCCGGCCAGGCCCAGCTCACATAAACCAGGTCCCAGAGTCACCAGGCTCGCTGCCCAGAGGCTGCCCTTGTAGAGGCTAAAGCCGCTCTGGCTTCTCCTCAGAAGCCGCTTGGATCCCCTCAGCGTCCTCTGGCGAGCTGATAGGAAGCCGCCGTCAGTCAGAGCTGGGGAACGTCACCCTGGCCTAGACAGTCAGTAACCTGAGCAGAACTGGCAGCAATCCATCTGCCAACAGCTGAGGGGTTCAGGAGCGTCTCTGTGGCCTTAAGCGGGTTCATGAAATTAAAAAAAAAAAAAAGAGAGAGGAAATTAAAACAATATGACCCACAGGTCAGAAAATAGGAGACACCCTTTTTGAGCAGAGGAATTCCATTTTCCTCCTCAAATTGTCACCAAAAGGACTCGTTTGGTTTTCTCTGACTATATTAAATGTATGTTGTTGTTTTTTTGAAACTGCCTCCATTTTAAAGGCCAGTGAGTAAACACATATTCTGGAAGTTAACCTGTTTTCCTCTGCCATTGCTGAGAATCACTTTTCAAAAAAAGTATCAGCCTGGTGGTGCAGCCCAGTCCTTGGAAGGGCAGCTGTACGCACCCACACCGGAGTCAGCCCACTGCCTGGGGATAGCCAGGGGAGGGTGGGGCCACATGGCTGAGGATGTCCAGCAGGTCACCTTTTACCCAGAGCGGCCTCACAGTCCCTCTTTTCCCATCCCCTGCTTCCCTAGGTGGCTCACAGAACACCCCAGTGGGGTGACATCCAGTGTTTGCCTCTGTTAGGTATGCTGAGGCAACATAGACTACCAGCTCCTGTAGTGCCTTCCAGCAGGCACTGTGTAGCACAGCAGCCAGGACTGGTGGCCTCATTATCAAGGCGTGAATGGAGTGCCCTCCCACAGCCCCCGATGCTGAAGCCCGTTACAGAGCGCCCCGCATATCACACAGGTTTAGCTAGTGGTGGGCTGGTCAGTGTTTACCAGCCAGCTCCCCAAAGGGCAGCAGAAAGCCCTGATTGGTATTATTCGGTTATTTCTGCAGTATTCCAATTCCCATTACGGCCCATTTCAAGCTGTCAACGTGATGTCGGTTGGCTAGCAGAATTTCTGAAAATGTAACAGTCAGCTAGCACCAGCACCCTACTGGTGAGCTGTACCATCAGGCAAAACAGCTCTCCCCAAAAGTAGAGCAAGGTCTTTTAAAACCTGACATCAAAGAGTGGTCTGCAAACCAATGACAGCATCTACCTGGGAACCGATGAGAAATGCAGTCTCAGGCCCCGCCCAGTACTACCTACCGACTCAGTACCTGCATCTTAGCAAGAACTCCGCGTACATTTGCACAGGTCTGTTTTAAAACACAGCTAACTTATGAGGCAGGTGCTGACCAATTTGTCTGATTAGATCACATGTGTGGTGGGCAAGTCCAGCTCTAAAGTAACTGGCTGAACTGCCCTCCTACCAGTAGTATCGTGCCCCTTGCCCCTGTTACTCCTCCTCTGCCCCCATTCAGCACAGCTCCAAACTGAGGTCAGTCCAGCTCTGCTCTTACCCTTAAGCTGCTGAAGGGAAGTCACAAATTGTGCAGTTTGGTGCCTATACAAATCTACGGTCTCTCCTCTCCAGGAGGCCCAGGCAGTCCCTCTGTATTTTCCCAGTGGCCTCTCCTACTCTCAGTTTGCAAACATCTTTCATAGCAAAAACCAGTGCCTGGAACAGTGTCTGGCACAGAGTAGGCACACAGGAATTATTTACAATACAAGTGAATTCTACATTCAACCTAGATGGTGGCCATCCTGCCACAGGCCCTGCTTGCTGCTGTGGCTTCTGGCCTGTTTTCACTCTCTTAGCAATTCCACAGATCTAATAGCCAGGGGAGGGTGGGGCCACATGGCTGAGGATGTCCAGCAGGTCACCTTTTACCCAGAGCGGCCTCACAGTCCCTCTTTTCCCATCCCCTGCTTCCCTAGGTGGCTCACAGAACACCCCAGTGGGGTGACATCCAGTGTTTGCCTCTGTTAGGTATGCTGAGGCAACATAGACTACCAGCTCCTGTAGTGCCTTCCAGCAGGCACTGTGTAGCACAGCAGCCAGGACTGGTGGCCTCATTATCAAGGCGTGAATGGAGTGCCCTCCCACAGCCCCCGATGCTGAAGCCCGTTACAGAGCGCCCCGCATATCACACAGGTTTAGCTAGTGGTGGGCTGGTCAGTGTTTACCAGCCAGCTCCCCAAAGGGCAGCAGAAAGCCCTGATTGGTATTATTCGGTTATTTCTGCAGTATTCCAATTCCCATTACGGCCCATTTCAAGCTGTCAACGTGATGTCGGTTGGCTAGCAGAATTTCTGAAAATGTAACAGTCAGCTAGCACCAGCACCCTACTGGTGAGCTGTACCATCAGGCAAAACAGCTCTCCCCAAAAGTAGAGCAAGGTCTTTTAAAACCTGACATCAAAGAGTGGTCTGCAAACCAATGACAGCATCTACCTGGGAACCGATGAGAAATGCAGTCTCAGGCCCCGCCCAGTACTACCTACCGACTCAGTACCTGCATCTTAGCAAGAACTCCGCGTACATTTGCACAGGTCTGTTTTAAAACACAGCTAACTTATGAGGCAGGTGCTGACCAATTTGTCTGATTAGATCACATGTGTGGTGGGCAAGTCCAGCTCTAAAGTAACTGGCTGAACTGCCCTCCTACCAGTAGTATCGTGCCCCTTGCCCCTGTTACTCCTCCTCTGCCCCCATTCAGCACAGCTCCAAACTGAGGTCAGTCCAGCTCTGCTCTTACCCTTAAGCTGCTGAAGGGAAGTCACAAATTGTGCAGTTTGGTGCCTATACAAATCTACGGTCTCTCCTCTCCAGGAGGCCCAGGCAGTCCCTCTGTATTTTCCCAGTGGCCTCTCCTACTCTCAGTTTGCAAACATCTTTCATAGCAAAAACCAGTGCCTGGAACAGTGTCTGGCACACAGTAGGCACACAGGAATTATTTACAATACAAGTGAATTCTACATTCAACCTAGATGGTGGCCATCCTGCCACAGGCCCTGCTTGCTGCTGTGGCTTCTGGCCTGTTTTCACTCTCTTAGCAATTCCACAGATCTCTGGTCTTCTAAGGAGTTTATATTTTATTTTTGTTATTTATTTAGTATGGCATGTGTACTCAGTCTGTCATCCTGAAGTCAGTGTCTTGCCTCCTTCCTGGGTTCTGCTTCAGACTTCCCCATTCTCCTCAAGCCTCGGGCCCCACCGTCTTATCTCTCACTCTCAGAGAGAGAATGGTGGTTATCACTGGAGAAATCTCTTGACCTCACACGCCCAGACCCTCGTCATCCCCATAGCAACCTGTTCCTCTCCTCCTGTCCTGGAGGAGGACGGCGCCTGCCCACAGCCTGCCCACCATTGCTGCTCTCCCCAGAGTTGCCAGTGGACGTTCACCTGGTCTCCCCCTGGCCCTGGGAACCGTGCTCCGTGGGCTTGAGGAGCTCTCCTGAGACACCTGTTCAGCCACGCACGC